CTTACCAGATACAGGAGTTTAAGTTCGCCGAGTTCGGTAATTCAAGCCGCAGTTTCAGTTCGGTAGTTCATAGTTTATGGAAACCCGCCACAGAAGTAGGTTTGGTTTGAGTTTTCTACGGTAATTCTTTATTTATTTGTTAGGGATCTCAACGTAGGTGAATACCACAAATAACTGTTGTGCAATTTGTTGATTTCAGATCGAATAGTTATATCAATAAACCGTTGATTATCCGATATACGGTCGTTTCCGTAAACTCCTAAAGTTGTCGACTCATCAGTGGTCCAATCATATTTCAAAGTTTGTAGAAGTGCTAAAATTGTGGGTGTGACTTTAAAGCATTTTCCACTACAATGTCAACGGTGAGTTTACATTCGATGAACAGTGGATGAAGAAGACTTCTCAAGACTCAACTTTGGATTTCTTTCAAAAAAACTTTTTTCCAAAATTTTGAGCTACTAAATTCAGGGTGCAGCTTATCTGCAGGTTTTTACAGTAATTTATTTAAGGGTAACACTGTAAAGAGAAATCAGAGACCAATCACTCTTTCAACACTATGGTATTCTCACCAGTGATATCTCAGGACTTTCTCTGCTAAAAGCATCCAATGTTCACCATCATCCATCGTCCAAATCTGAAACAAAATAGAAATAAAAAGTCCAAAGCAACACTAAATACAGTCCAAAATAAAGGTTGACATCCATCACCATTCACCAAAGCTTTGATGAAGATGATTTTATTTTAATCAACCACATTGATGAATAAATGTAAATTGGCAGCTGTAGAGAGATTCTAACGCTGATGTTTTGAGTACTAACCCTTTCATTGTTAGAATGAATTTAGCAATTGTGGACTGTGTGTGGTTTCTAAAGAGAAAAATGGAGCTAGGCAAGAAGAATGTGTAATATAAGAGTGCTAAATAAAAGATATATTTTTGTTCTTTTGTTTTTGTGGCTTTCCATGCTGCCAATATGTAGGGAAAGGCCACAGATGGCCAATACAACACCACAGTTTCTTCAGAAATTTACCCTCCTTCTTCAGATTCTTTGAGGCTCAGTTACATACATATGTTACTTGACCACTCCCCATAGGAGCTTTTCAGGGCCAATTCCCACCCATCTCACCCCAGGGGAGGACATCCACCACACAGTAATCTCATGC